AATTCCCACCTCTCCCTACTACTAGAGCTTTTAGCTCCTCCCATAGAATTCTCTTTTTCCCCAGTTGACATGGGGAGTAGACATTAATAATACTAGTTGGAAACTGTTCAACACCCCAGACCCCTTCAACTCCTATGAAGTTCGTCCCCTCCAAGATTCTACCCATTTTAAATTTTTTAGAATTCCAAATACACAGCATTCCTCTAGACAAACCCTCTGCATCCCTGGCAACCCATTCTAAATCATCTGATCCCCATGTCATTCTACAAGTACTTCTATCTATCCCTTCCATCTTAGTTTCCTGTATTGCTAAAAAATCCACTTTTTCTTTATTTATTAATTCCTTCAAGTGTCTTTTCTTCCCGACACCTCCTAGCCCTCTAATATTATAAGACATCAAATTCATGGGGCAAAAACACTAACCTTCTTATGCTTGTTCCCTCCCTTGGAGCCTTCCGCTTCTTTTTCTTTTCTGCTCTTTTCTCCATCTCCTCTAAATCCCGAATTACACCTACCTCATCCTCTGCAACCACCCCAATTCTTTTTGCAAAATTCCATAGATCTTCTGCTGTTTTCCTGCTTTGTTCCTCTTTTAAGATTCGGTTGCAATTCTCAATCCCGCTATCCCCAACTGAGTCTCCCGCCACTGAGTCCCTTCCATTTGACAAAAATTCTGGAAAACCCACTTTTCCTGGCTTGCTCTCCTTGGATCTCCCTCTACCCTTGTTGTTCCGAATCATCACCCCTGACAGCTGTGCTTTGAGATACACCGAGCGGCATGACTTTGTCCTCTTCTTTCTGTTCTTGTTAACTAGGACCTGGACAGGGATCCCTTCTGGCTCTTCGAAAAATCCTGCCTCTGCCCCTTTCAATCCCTTCTGCTTTTGGATCTGCAGCTGCGCTTCTTCATGTTTGTGCTCCAACTGAACCGGATCCCCCTCTTTCTCTATCGAGATTACCTCCTTAGCCCCCTTCGATCCCTTCTTCTTCAAGATCTGCAGCTGCACTTCCTCTTTTACGTGCTCCACCTGAGCAGAAATCCCCACTTCATGTGCTTGCTTTGAGATCTGCAGCTGCATTCCTTCATCTTCACACACCCGCTGAGCAGAATCTCCTACTTTGTTCGACCTTTCCATCCCGCTGCTGTCTTCGATCCCCTTATCTGCCCTCAACGAGCGGCTATGGGTTCTTCGGACATCTTCCAGAGCTTTCATGTTTATTATGCTCCCTTTCTTTTTTGCTTTTTTATTTAGTGGAATGGGCCCCCTCCATTCTATTGTTCCCATTTTGTTGCAGGCCCATTGCCTCTCTACCAAGCCCTTTACAACATTTTGTTTGTGGCCCATTTTACCTTTTGTTTGTGCAGCTTGCTCAACCCGTAACTCATCCCTCGATGCTTGGATAGGGTCTGAGCTAGTTTGGTTGTTTGTACTAGCTTCTTTTTCCCTACCTTTCTCATCTAGTCCATCCTGAACTTCATTCACTGTTCCTTCGTCAATGCTGTCAGCTACTTCTTCTTCAGTTTCCCATTCTTTTAGCCGGCATTGGGGACTCCCTTCAGCTTTTTCAAATTGTCTCGCTTCAGCACCTCTTTCTTCTAATTCAAACTCTTCCTCGTTTGCTGAACTGACGGCGTGCCTTCTGTCATTTGTACTGTGGCCCACTGTATCATCAACGGCTTTTTCTTCTTCCCCGGCCCTCTCCCAGTTGGTTCCTCATTCATCGTCTTGCCATTCATCGTCATAATCACTGGCCTCCGACCAATATTCTTCATGCTCTGAATCACTTTTAAAGCTGGGTAAGAAATCATATCTCAGAGAAAATAGACTGTTAGTCATCTCTTCCTCAGTGAACTTGAGACAGTACACCTCCCCATTCACTGTAATTTGCCTTTTGACTGAGATGAGGTCCATTATCTGGGTTGATATGAGGAATCTCGCTATATCAAATCTCCTTTTCTGACTTGTACTATCATCCAGGCATATAAATTTGCCCCATGGAACTGCCATTGACTCAAAGAACGCAGGACCCCAAGCTTGCAAAGGGGTTCCTTGACATCTGATCCAAACGAACCGTTCTTTTGCCACCATAAGAGGTGACCAAGGTTTAACTTCAGAGAACCATTGCCCAAACCAATCTGCAGCTCCCTGCACTAAATCCTTTAGTTCTTCTTTGTCCTCGCAATCCATGAGAACCATCTTGCCTCCCATCGCCCTTAGCCGACATGAGAAATACCCTTCTATATAAAATTTCTCTTGGATGTTGGGTACCATCTCAACTGAATGGGCAATACCAACATAGCAGCCTTGTAGCCACTCATAATCTTCTTCCTTCACATTGTATTCCAATCCTCTCCATTCTGTCCCTCTGTTTTTTACTCTCCATATCTTTCTTTGCTCTATTTTACTGTTTTTGGGGATGCTTCCCTTTTTTCCATTCATCGTCTCTGGCCTTATCTGCTTTAGTTGAGACCCTGTTTTGCCATATTTCATTTCCTCCTGGCCTTTAACAGCATCTGCATAGGATTTCCCTTCTACCACAATAGATGGATTTGAGTGTAGACTTTTCTTCTTGGCTACAATCTTCTCCTCAGTGTATTTGGCAATGTTAACCCATATTTTCCGCCCAGCAACCCAGATTTGGTCCAGTTTCTCTTCCAGATCCCTCACATTTCTTACCTCAATGTACTTGAGGAAACCAAACCTCCTTCCAGATTGACTTCTTCTTTGCGGACTATAGATTGATATCAACCTGCCATATCTATCGAAAGTTGTCCACATGTCATTGTAGTTCCAATCATTTGGGATATTTGAGAAGAAAAAGGTTGTAGCCTGTTTATACAATCCTTTGTTGTACCCCCAATCATGGTTGAACTTCTTACTTCTGCTAACTTTCCTGTACCCTGTATTCACTGACCTCCTTTGTCTGCTTCTCCCTTGTGATCCTGCATACTCTCTGCTCAGTGCTGCTCGTCCCGATCTTGCATGGAGCCTGTAGCTTGAATCCCTGTTTCTCTCTCTACCTCTCTCTCTCATGTTTTTTTTGCCAATAGCGCAGACTTTGAATTGTTCAACTCATTATTTTTGGACGATTTGTCAATGGACCATGAACATCGGTTTTTATCGGCAATATATATGGTTTTATCGCGCGATGAGACAGTAGAATGTTCACAGACACAACCCTACCCTCGGTTGTCCATATGATTTCTTGTCCATCAAAAACGTAAATTAAAAGTTAAAAAAAAAATCACTTCAAACCAATGAAGTGCCATGTGTACGTGCTAAAATTTCTTTTATAAATAACTTCATTTATTCAACGTTAATTAATAGCTTAGTTTTTAATTTGAAGTATTTAAATTTAATTTTTTTAAAATGTCATTTAATATGTCTATTTTTATTTTATTTTTATTTTAAAATGATAATTATAATATATATTAAATAAGAAGTTTTATTTAAGTAATTATATAAAATAAATATAAAATTTCATTAATAAATTATTATATATCTATTTTATTAGATAAAAAAATAAACTTATTAAAGTTGAACAGAGGGAGCAAACATGTAGGCTGTACATAAATTGTGCAATTTTCGAGCGTTAATTGTGGTGAAGAATATAAATAGGATAATGATATGAAGACAGCCTTTTTTATACAATTTTTTTATATAATTTTTATATATCATTAAATAAATAAATGTAACAATATCATGAATCCCAATTGAGTGAAAAAACCAATAATTAAATGACACATAGAAATCAGTTCACTTTTGATTTATAGAGTTTGCCATGCACAAATTGTGTTTTTAATAGACAGTGAAGTATATGCGTGCTCTTTAATTTTAATTAGGTAGTCACTTTTCTAATAATAGTTAAAAGAAGTACAATAGGTGTAGAATATAATGTGAAACAATATTTTTTTTAATTTATAATTGAAGGAAATAATGTCTTTGAAATATTTAAGGTTTGATTTACTGATAATTAAGTTTTTTTTTTAAATTTTAATAAATTTAATTTTTATTTTGTTACATTTAAATTTAATTATTTACCTTTATTTTATTAAATAAAAAAATTAAATCTATTAAAACTAAATAAAGAAAGCATTAATATTTTAAGTTAAATTTAGAATTTAAAATTTAAAATTTAACACATTTTTAAACTCAACAAAACGGTACAAGATGCATCTTTAAAATCTTAAGAATATATTAATTTCAAAATACAAGTGAACTAATTCGAGACGTTCAAAAAGAGAAAAAGAAAGGGCTCTACTTTTTTTTATTTTTTAAACAGTAAAAATAATTATTATTTATGATTTTGGGTACAAGGGTACCCGACCCGTTGCACAGAGCATCGATCATTTCAGCGCATTGTTTATCCAAAACTATCACCAAAATATGTCAACGTTTTGTTCCACTTGCCATGCCACGTTCAAGGCAACCTACTGGTTCAAGCATCCAGTCAGAAAGGGCTCTACTTTATAAAATTCTACTCACGAACGAATGTTTATTCTATTCACGTGTTTGCTCGATTAATGTAATTTTTTTTCTTTTATTTACAAAGTATTTGGCGCTTCTTTTTCGTAATACGCATCGTAATGAGCACGATAAGATGCAAAGTTTTCCCTTATTGTACTATTCATTTAGAAAGTTCTAAAATTAACCCTCTAGCCGTTCAACAATTTTGGCTTTGGCTAAACATGTTACTCAACGAGCGGTATACAGTCAACAAAACAAATTTACATGATTTTTTCATCTATATATAAAATAAAAAATATAGCATATTTTAAACTATACTGTATTTACTATCTAAAGAAAGTTGAATTTTTTGATATTAAAAGCTCTTTTCTCATCTAAAAATCTCTCTTTTATATTTTGATATAATTTGAATTGTAAACATAATTCTCTCTCTCTGTATCTATATATATATCTAAAAGCTATTTTATCATTCGAACTGTCTATATAATTTTTTTAATTGGTATATTTTCTTGAGATGAATTGAAAAGAAAAGAAAATAACATTACCCAATGAGTTGCAACTTAATTAGTGAGGGAGATTGCCCCATTTCTTAATAACTAAGGTTCATTTATTTGAAGAGAGCAATTAAAAGTTAATTTCTCATCAATTTTCTAATTCCAACTATGAATTACTTACTTTTGATCTTATCAAAAAAATATTAATTTTAAAATGTGTGTAACTTGATTTAAAAACACCCTGACTACTAAAAATAATAAAAGAAAATACTAAGAGAGTAAATGTGCTTCGCCCTTGAAACCTTACCACCATATACGACCAGTTTCGAAGCACAAGACTGTCATAAATCAACTAAACCACTCGAATCAGACCTTTAGGCTCAATGGTTCGACCCCAAGCCTTAAGTGTTTGGGTGAGGTGGTCGGTACTTCGAGTTCTACCACCGTCGTGAACTCCACCAAAAGCGGTCTGATGGCCGCGCGCCTCATTTGAGGGGGTGAAATGTTCACTCGATCTGGAGATCGAATCCCCAGTTGCTAATAACTAATTCATACTAATTTTCTAACCATTACCTTGT